TCTCTCTCTCTCTCTCTCTCTCTCTCTCTCTCTCTCTCTCTCTCTCTGAGGATGCCACGTGTCAAATTCGTGCGTTGTCGTCACGTGGCAAAGAAGTTTGCTTCATTTCTCTCTCTCTGTCTCTCTCTCTCTCTCTCTCTTGGCACCTTGGCCAAGTTGGTCAAGGCTACGAGTGATACAAATTTGCGATGTCTATCGCTGATGCTTAGTAGGGGTTTTTTACGGGGAATGCGACGGAAGACGTGTGATAGGGGCTTGGGGTACGAGGTCAAGGGATACGGGTAGGTGAGAACGGGGGGTACCGGGGTAGGTTGTGCGGGTAGCGAAAGTAGGGATTAACGGGCAAAGGGGAACGCCCAGGGCGGGTCACGTGGAAACGGCCCAGATTCGGGGGTCAAGCGGATAGATTTCGGGCGGGGGCCCGTGACATACCGAGAGGAAAAAGGGGAACGACCGTTGTTTGAAGCCTGGCGGCTAGACCAGGGACTTCTTGAAATCGCTGTTTTTGGAAATTTTTATTTTCTTGAAGTAAGTCAAACGGTAGTCGAGGGAAAGGGGACCGGTGGGGCGACGTGCCAAGGTACGAGTACGGCAGCAAGGCCAAGGCTGCCGTGAGCTGAGGGATTCATTGAATCCTACCTCCTGACGAGTCCGAGCATAGTCGGACAGAAACCGGTCGGGGATGCTACGAGCTCAGGGGAAAGTAGTGGCGATGGCGGGGCTATGGTGGAGCAGAATGAAGGGAAAGGGGAAGGAATGGACATGGGAGAGAGAAGGAATGAGAGCTTTGTATGTGCTGATGATTGTATACATTCTGATGAAAAGCTTGCGGGGAAAGAATAATTTCATTCTGATTCTGCTGTAAGTTCGCTTGTTGCTGTGACTGTGTGGCCGCAGTTTTCCTACACTCCAGGGCGCATGGTAACCGGGAGCACTGAGAACTCTACGGTGGCTATGGCTACACCGGGTTCGGGGAACCTGTTTTAGTAAAGCATACTGTCAAGGTAAGAGTACGACCGTAGATATAGGCTCTAGGAGATAGCTAGTCACGAAGATGTACGGAGGGGGACGATACCAGGGAGGGGGAATGGGTGGTTACGGTAATACAGGAGGTTACGAGAACAGATATGGAGGGAACACGGTCGGGGTCGGATACAACGGGAATACGGGCGGAGGTACGGGGGGTAGTATGGATGGATACATGGGAGGCGGTTCGGGGGGGAACAGCGGCAGGGGAGGTAGACAGCCCTCGACGTGCGACACGTGCGGGAAACCCGGCCATTACTCAAGGGAGTGCTGGATGAGGCGTGGAAGGCAAGATGACAATGAGCTCGAGGAGATACGACAACAACATAGGACGATGACGCAGGAGAGACGTGAGGCTGAAGAGAAAAGGAGGGTAGAAGAACAGAGGAGACTGCAAGAGGAGAACGAGAGGAGACGTGAGCAGGATATGGTGCGACGAACAGAGGAGATTAGGCTGCAGTTAGAAGCGGGGCTTGAAGAGAAATGGCGACAACAGACCAAGCAGGCGGTGGAGGCGGCAGCAGCGGCGAAGGCCAAAGCTGAGGAGGCCCGAGCCAGGGCAGAGGAGGCACACGCTAAGGCGGAAGAAGCGCGGGCAAGATTCGAGATGTCGAGAATCGAGAAGACGAGGAAGTGCACACACAAGGTGCGGGAGACGCCGGCGAGTACGAGTAGGAAGAGGGCGAGAAAATATGAGTCAGAGGACATGACCTCAGAAGATTCGGAGATAGAAGGCGACTCTACTGATTCGGACGAGGAACTGAGGAAAATGATTGAGCGTTTGAAGAAGGAGAAAAGAACGCGGAGGTCGGAGAAGAGGGAAAGATCGAAGAAACGGGAGAAGATTACGTATGAAAAGACACCGATTAAGACACCAGAGAAGAAGCAGTCGACGACGGAGCGAGGTGAGTGTTCGAAAGGGAAGAGGCAAACGAGGCGCAATCGTGAAGGTATGGATGACATGTTGAGAAACACGAATGATATTGGAGCAGGGTTCGAGGAACCGTGGGATGAGTATAACCAAAGTCGGGGATCACCACGGACAGGAGGGCTGAGATTCGACATACCAAGGGGTGGTGACGATACACGCGAGGAAGAACCGAAGACACCTATGGAAAATGGGTATAAGGGTTTGACGGCGAAATGCTCCAGGGAGGGCATTATTGACTACTGTCTCTCGACGCAGAAAATCCTATCCTCTAAGAAAGCCACGATGTTGCGGAAGGTCTGGCAAAAGAAAGGCATCAGATACACGAGGAAGCCCGAGATCATCGATGTTCTGGCCAGGGAACAGGTGAAACTGGCGTATGAGGGTTTTGCTGGTTTGGAGGCACAAGGAGGAGAAGAGGAAAGGGTGGAGGTGAATTTGGGTGAGGATATTACGGGGACAGAGAAGCGGGGCACAAGGTCGTCGGTTCAGACGGCACCGGCGCGAGTAATTTTAAGATTTGCGAAGAAGCAGAAGGGGCAGGAGTCAGACTGACTACCTGATCCCCCTACGACCGTATCGCTATGGGAGACTCTGAAAGAAAATATGAGGATACGGTCATCCCTCTGGGGACAGGGACGGAGCAGCGAACAGCTGGCGGCAGTTGAGAGGGTGATTACGACTACGACAGTTCTTTTGACTTTGCGAGGGCAGATACAATGGTTGACGAAGTACCTGGTACGATCTGAGATCACCACGAACATGTTGGATTTGAAGGAAGCTGGCGTCTACATCGTTGCGTCACCATGGTCCAAGAAAGTTTATGTGGGTAGCACGATCCGGAGTACGATGCAGAGGTGGCGCGAACATCTAAGCAATGCTGATACCGAAGTGATCGGGAGTTCACCGAAACTGTACCGTTGGATGCGACACTACGGTTTGGGTAACTTCGTGATAATCCCGATAAGGCATGCGAACGGTGAGGACGATCGAGCCTTTGAGAGGCATCTCATACAAGACTTTTCGCCCTCTTTGAACACGAGCAACACCAACTGTCGAGAAGATGGAAAGACGCGTAGCAAGAGGAAAGGTAGGAGGGAGAGGAAGAGGTTGAAGACGAGACGGCGTGAGAAAGTGAAGAGCACGGTGACTTTTGAGGAAGAAAATGTGAACAAGCGGAGGGTATCGCTGTTGATGTGGTTAGAGGAGGCAAGTAAAAAGGAGGCGAAGTGTGAGAGGAGAGTGACATTTCACAAGGGAGAGACCTGGGCGGATGGGTGGAGGAAAATCAAGAAGAGATTCGGGATGACGAAGGTAAGGCTTAACGGAAGATTGAATAAACTTGCAGCGGTCAGAGTGGAGCTACAGCAAGGAGTGACTGTGGTTTTCGTCGGGATTACTAAGACGACGACGACGACGGCCATATACATCCAAGAACTACGGTGGATGCTCAAGAAGCCGTTTTTGTTCAAAGGTCTGGTGAGTCGTACCACGAATTAGCTGGTTGGATTGTATCGGGCTGCGGGCTTCTTCAGGGAGAAGAAGACTAAGAGTGACCTCAGGCTGAAGATCGACAAGGCAGTGAAGATGAAGACAGTGAAAGGGATGCGGAAGAGGGTGCAAGTTAATGTCACGTATGATAGACAGATCGTGAAAAGGAAGATACGACAGGCTACAGAAGGGGTGGTAGAAGCGAAGGTGAAAGATGGAGCGGTCGCGAATCTGATTAAGGGCAGGATCCGAATCACCTAGAAGCGGAACAAAACGGTTGGAGAGATTATACATAATCACCGGAGGCATGCACACGTTGGGGAGCAACTCTGCACGTGCATAACTAGTCTTCCGACTACGGATGGACATGTGCTAACGCGGTTCTCCGAGTTGAAAGAGTTACCAGATTTCATGAGGAATGGCAGAAATGTGACATGTAGCTCGAAGGGAGTGACTACCGAATATATCATGCAGGCAATTGTCGGGGGAACGAGTCACTTGGGCAGAGGTATGAAGGACATTAACGTACCAGCCAGTGGCTTCCTAAGTAATGACGTGGCAGGGACGCAGGGACAGGGCACCTGGGACGAGGAACAGGTGGTGAACTGGGTGGCGAGATTTGAAGGGCTTGTACTCGCCCCAGTTGATCGTAATCAAGGCGATACGGCGGTAATCTGCCCGGTTATTTATCGACATGCTTTCGGGAAGATTTTTGTGTGGAACCGTGACTATGAAGAGATACGTGAACAGGAACAGGACATCCTGCGAAGGGCGAGGAAGGACTTCGAGCAGGCCAACCTCAACAAGATCGCATCGTGGAAAACTGACGGGCGAATCGGGCGGGCTTACGTCATTCCCAAGGATAAAGATCTCGGAAGATGGAGGCCGATAGCACCAGCCACAGGAGACCCGGCGGGAATGGCACAGCGGAAGGTGGCAAGGGCACTACATTACCTGATGAAGCTGTTTCCGAAAGAGCAGACTTTTTACCTCAATTCCATTTAAGAGTTACCGACGAGATTGGAGGATGTGCAGAAGAGATTGACCGAGAATCGTTGTACGGAAGCGGAAGGGAGATCCTATGATATAAAGGACATGTTTACGAAGATACCGCATGACGCGGTTAGGCGGTCAATTTAGCAGTTACTTTTATGTTATGCTTACAGAGGATGGAGGCAAGTTAAGGTGTCAAAGAGAGGTAGACTATGTACCTTGAGCAGGACCTGCAGGACGACGAACGGGTACGTGGGGATTCGTTTCGAGAGCATGTTCGCGATGGTTGAGCATGATCTCAACAATGCGTTTATTAACTGCGGGCATGACATGAGGAGGCAAATTTCTGGAATCCCCATGGGGAAATGTACCAGCCCGATCCTGGCTACTATCACTTGCGCCATGACCGAGTTCAATCTGCTGAGGGGGTTGGGCTCGGATCGGAAGCTGATTGGCGGTTGGAGGATCGTTGATGACATCACGGTCGTGGTTGGAAGGCAGATCGGAGAGAGGGGGACGAGTGACAAGGTATTTGATAAGTTGGAGACCTGCTATGACGGGAACTTGACTTTGGTCAGGAAGGACGAGGGGAAAGATTGGTGGCATTTCCTGGGCGGTTCCTTTTATATGCTGCAGCAGCCAGTGAGGCTGATGTTCGTCCCTGAGTCGAAGAATCTGGTGACATTGTGGGAGACGGCCAGCATTAGATACCAGACGATGCAGGACTACGCATCGTATTCGGAGAAGAAGTCGAAGAAGTCGACGCTGGCGGCTACCCTGAGGCGATTATGGTACTCAACGTCATGCCAGGTCCTGGTCATTGGCTCTATAGCCTATACTTTGTGGGAGACATACCTCCGGGGCTATGCCCCGGAGGTCTCTCTTGGCGCCTTGGCCAAGTTGGTCAAGGCTACGAGTGATACAAATTTGCGATGTCTGTCGCTGATGCTTAGTAGGGGTTTTTTACGGGGAATGCGACGGAAGACGTGTGCTAGGGGCTTGGGGTACGAGGTCAAGGGATACGGGTAGGTGAGAACGGGGGGTACCGGGGTAGGTTGTGCGGGTAGCGAAAGTAGGGATTAACGGGCAAAGGGGAACGCCCAGGGCAGGTCACGTGGAAACGGCCCAGATTCGGGGGTCAAGCGGATAAATTTCGGGCGGGGGCCCGTGACATACCGAGAGGAAAAAGGGGAACGACCGTTGTTTGAAGCCTGGCGGCTAGACCAGGGACTTCTTGAAATCGTTGTTTTTGAAAATTTTTATTTTCTTGAAGTAAGTCAAACGGTAGTCGAGGGAAAGGGGACCGGTGGGGCGACGTGCCAAGGTACAAGTACGGCAGCAAGGCCAAGGCTGCCGTGAGCTGAGGGATTCATTGAATCCTACCTCCTGACGAGTCCGAGCGTAGTCGGACAGAAACCGGTCGGGGATGCTACGAGCTCAGGGGAAAGTAGTGGCGATGGCGGGGCTATGGTGGAGCAGAATGAAGGGAAAGGGGAAGGAATGGACATGGGAGAGAGAAGGAATGAGAACTTTGTATGTGCTGATGATTGTATACATTCTGATGAAAAGCTCGCGGGGAAAGAATAATTTCATTCTGATTCTGCTGTAAGTTCGGATGCTGCTGTGACTGTGTGGCCGCAGTTTTCCTACACTACACTACACTCTCTCTCTCTCTCTCTCTCTCTCTCTCTCTCTCTCTCTCTCTCTCTCTCTCTCTCTCTCTCTCTCTCTCTCTCTCTCTCTCTCTCTCTCCGAGC